AGCAAACAGCAAACTGTTCTCATATATGTAGGATGTTGGCAAGCTGACAGCTATGTCTGCCACCAGAAGGAATGCTGAGGACAGTCACGCACCAGGTGCAGTGTTCCTTGTAGTTATCTATAGGAACATCTGGAGCCTGTTGTATAAAGAAAGCAATTATGTGAGCCTGTGATAAATCAAGCAGCTGACCAACCATTACCTCTTCCTCCCTGTTGATTCTACCTAATAAATATGAAGGGCTGTAGAAGCTCAGGGCCCTTATTCCCTAGAAGGAGGGAGCCCCCGACTCCTTCTTTAAAACAGATCCTTTTCTTTGTCTTCATTTCTGCGTTCATCCTCCTTCATTCAGTCCCGAACCGACAGCCACATCTGTGGGTCATGCAGTGTCTAATTCTCCCAGAGAGTTCACCTGGTCCAGCACCAGCTGTCCCCACACAGGGGACGAGCTCTGCAGTCTCTGACTGCAACCACCTCTTCCACCTGAAGAGGGCGCTGTCCACGCGCATATGCGGATGTGTGCACAGATGTGGGTGCCAGTTTGCATTCCTCTTCCTCGTGGCGACCACCAGGCACATGCACTTGGGTGAACACTGCCACCACTGCCTACAGTGTGGCACTCCCCTTGCTGACTGGGAAACTTGCTCCAGCACCAGCTTATCCACACAGGAGAGAAGCCCTACTGGTGCTTTGACTGCATGTGGCGCATGCACCAAAGAGGCTCCCTTGGCCATTCATAGGCACACACATACAGGTGAGAAGCCTCAGTCCTGCTCAGTGTGTGGCATCTGCTTCTCCTGCTTAAAAAAAGAAGAAAAAAGTAAATAAAAGCTTGGCTTTTCCTTTTTTAGATGGAGTCTCACTTTATCCCCTAGGCTGGTTTGCAATGGTGTGATCTCAGCTCACTGCAACCTCTGCCTCCCGGGTTCAAACAATTCTCCTGCCTCAGCCTCCCAAGTATCTGGGATTACAGGCACGTGCCATCATGCCCGCCAAATTTTTTGTATTTAGTAGAGACAGGGTTTCACCATGTTAGACTGGTCTTTGAATTCCTGACCTCAGATGATTCACCCTCCTTGGCCTCCCAAAGTGCTGGGATTATAGGCACGAACCACCGTGTCTGGCCTGACTTTTCTTTTCTTTTTTGAGATGGAGTTTCACTCTTGTTGCCCAGGCTGGAGTGCAATGGTGCAATCTCGGCTCACTGCAACCTCAGCCTCCCCGGTTCAAGCGATTCTCCTGCCTCAGTCTTCCAAGTAGCTGGGATTACAGGCATGCACCACCACTCCCAGCTAATTTTTTGTATTTAGTAGAGACAGGGTTTCACCACGTGGGTCAAGCTGGTCTTGAACTCCTGACCTCAGGTGATCCACCCGCCTTGGCCTCCTGAAGTGCTGGGATGGATTACCGGTGTGAGCCACCATGCCTGGCCGGCCTGACTTTTCTTAACAGATTCACGTGGTCCAGTTTTGTTTGTTTGTTTGTTTTTGTTTTTGTTTATTTATTTAAGCACAGGGGCTCACTCTGTTGACTACGCTGGAGCACAGTGGTGTAATAATCATAGTTCACTGCAGCCTTGAACTCCTGGGATCAAGCCATCCTCTCGCCTTAGCCTCCCAAAGGGCTGGGGCTACAGGCATGAGCCACCATGCCCACACACCCAGCCACAATTAGGAGGCTAAAGCCCCCGCCTTTTTTTTTTTTTTTTTTTTCTGAGACAGAGTCTCATTCTTTCACCCAGGCTGGAGTGCAGTGGTGCAATCTTGGCTTACTGTAGCCTTGACCTCCCAGGTCTCAAGCGATCCTCCCACCTCAGCTTCCCAAGTAGCTGGGACTATAGGTGTCCAACACCATGCCTAGCTAGTTTTTGTATTTTTTTGTAGAGACAGGGTTTCGCCATGTTGTCCAGAGTCATCTTGAACTCCTGGGCTCAAGCAATCCCCCCACCTCGGCCTCCCAAAGTGCTGGGATTATAGTCGTTAGCCACCACACCTAGCCTGTAACTGTAGCTTTTTTCCACCACCTCTGTTCAAACATCTCCTTCCTCTGAATATCTCACTGCTGCCTCCTCCTCCTCCTTCTTCTTCTTTCTTCTCCTTCCTTTTCTTTTTTTTTTCTTTTTTCTTTATTGAGACTTAGTCTTACTCTGTTACCCAGACTGGAGTGCAGTAACACCATGTTGGATCACTGCAATCTCAGCCTTCCAGGTTCAAACAGTTCTCTTCGGCTGGGCTCGGTGGCTCATGCCTGTAATCCCAGCACTTTGGGAGGTCGAGGCAGGCAGATCACCCGAGGCTGGGAGTTCGAGACCAGCCTGACCAACATGGAGAAACCCCATCTCTACTAAAAATACAAAATTAGTCGGTGTGTGGCACATGCCTGTAATCCCAGCTATTTGGGAGGCTGAGGCAGGAGAATCGCTTGAACCCGGGAGGTGGAGGTTGCGGTGAACCAAGATCACGCCATTTCACTCCAGCCTGGGGGACAAGAGCAAACCTCCACCTCAAAACAAAACAAAAAACAATTCTCTTGCCTCAACATCCCAAGTAGCCGGGACTATAGGCATGTGCTACCATGCCTGGCTAATTTTTGTATTTTTAGTAGAGACAGGGTTTTGCCATGTTGGCCAGGCTGGTCTTGAACTCCTGGCCTCACGTGTGATCTACCTGCCTTGGCCCCCCAAACAACTGGGATTACAGGTGTGAGCCACTGCTCCTGGCCTCACTGTTTTCTAATTTTGTGACTTTTCCTGCCACATTGTCTTTATTCCTTGAAAGCTTTGAGGTTAGTGTTTTGCCCATAGTATGTGCTTTACAATATTGATTAAAGAGATAGATGTGCATGTCGCTAGCTAAGAGATGTGGCAAATGGTATATTCTCCTGCCCGCAGGACCCTTGGGGGTGGCATTGAGCTGGTGAAACTCTGCAGTATGACACATACACAGAAGTGGGGGCTAGGCCAGGCGTGGTGGCTCATGCCTGTAATCCAACACTTTAGGAGGCAGAGGCAGGTGGATCATGAGGTCAGGAGTTCGAGACCAGCCTGGCCAAGATGGTGAAACCCCATCTCTACTAAAAATACAAAAATTAGCCAGACACGGTGGCAGATGCCTGTAATCTCAGCTACTCGGGAGGCTGAGGCAGGAGAATCGCTTGAACCCGGGAGGCGGAGGTTGCAGTGAGCTGAGTTCACACCACTGCACTCTAGCCTGGGTCACAGAGCAAGACTCCGTCTCAAAAAAAAAAAAAAACAAGAAGTGGGGGCTAATGGGGTGGGTGCTGGCTTGTTCCATCAGCAATTTTCAGTTTAGTGCCTTTCACATACATGCTTGTATCATTCAGTTATGATTCATTGTGAATTTATATGCCTTACTAGACTGTAAGCTCCATTCAAAGCATGGCCTATGACTTATTTCTGTAGGCTCTCCCAGTTGCCTAGCACTATGCTTTGTAACCGAACAAATGTCACGTGAAAACAATATAGGGAGATTATGCAGAATATTGAAGTTGAGAAGAAGAGCTCAGGTGGATTCCTGGTTTAGCAAGCAAATTAGGATACTGTGAAGGAAGGGTGCCTATCAGTGGTATGAATAAAGGCTCTGTCTGCCCCAGGATTAAATCTTTGTTCCTCCTTCTTACTAGCAGTATGGCCCTGGAAACTCATGGAATCCCTCTGAGATCATTTCTTCATTAGTAGAACCAGGATGATAACCATTGGTGCACAAAATGCTAGTAAAGAATTAATAATGGGCTGGGTGTGGTGGCTCACACCTGTAATTCCAGCACTTAGGGAGACGGAGGTGGGCGGATTGCTTGAGCTCAGGAGTTGGAGACCAGCCTGGGAAACATGGTGAAATCCCGTCTCTACCAAAAAATACAAAAAGTTAGCAGAGCACTGTGCTGTGTGCCTTCACTCCAGCCTGGGCAACAGAATGAGACCCAGTCTAAAAAAAAAAAAAAAAAAAATGACATGCTGAGGCATGCTGCAACATAAATGAACCCCAAAATCATAATGCTAAGTGACAGAAGGGCAGACACAAAAGATCCCATGAGTATTATCCCGTTTATATGGAGTGTTCAGAGTAGGTGAATCTATAGAGACAGAAAGGAGATGAGTGACTGCCTTAGCTGGAAGGGAAAATGGGGGAGAAATGGGCAGTGACTATTAAAAGGTATGATGTTTCTTTTTCTTTGTTTTGTTTTGTTTTCTTTTTTGAGATGGAGTCCCGCTCTGTCCCCCAGGCTGGAGTGCAGTGGCACGATCTCGGCTCACTGCAACTTCCGCCTCCTGGGTTCTAAGAGATTCTCCTGCCTCTGCCTCCTGAGTAGCTGGGATTACAGGCACCTGCCACGATTGCTGGGCAATTTTTGTATTTTTAGTAGAGACGGGGTTTCATCATGTTGGCCAGGTTGGTCTCAAACTCCTGACCTCCAGCCTGGGCGACAGAGCACGACTCTGTCTCAAAAATAAATAAATAAATAAAAATAAAAAACAATAAAGATGAAATATGTAATATGCTGGGCATGGCGCCTGCCCCCAGGAAATGATAACAATAATTCCCTGCCCTAAAGGGCAAACAAAGAAGATAACCGTTCTCCAAAGTCAACGATGCTCTGAGAACGCCACTAAAAGGAACTCAGGATAATCTCAACTCTAGCTTGGCCAGAGTGGTTCCAACGCTCAAATCGTTCCCTCCTTCAGTGATTGGCTGAGCCTGCCAGAGTCGAACAGCGGAAAGCAGCCCCGGGGCCTCTTGCTGCCCCTAGGTCGGTGTAAGTGGCTTCACAGGTCCTTGTAGTTGCCTGACCCTAGTGGTCCAGCTTCCTGCCCTTATGCAACTCTTGGCTTCGTTCAAACGGACCGCCTTTGCCAGCACCCAGTCAGAACGCTCGATCTTCGGCTGTTGTCCAATGAACGCGCGTAATGGGGAGGGGAAAAAAGAGAGTGTGAAGCCCAATCGCAGCGCCATTACACTTGAGGGCAAAGAGGTTAGGAAGCCGGCATGGCGCTCCGGTCAATAAAATCGATAGCTGGAAGCTGCCTGTGTTCCAGGCAAAGGCGGTGCGGTAGCAGCGCCGCCATTTTCCCCGAAGGCATCTTCCGGTGCCTTTCACCCAAGTTCGGGCAGGAGTTTCCTGAATAACAGCAAAGGGTTTCCGTTAGCCCTGCAGGCGGCCGATTCCAATTCCCTCCGGGC